AAAAATATATTTGTTTCTACTGTATTCCATGCAATTCAATCATCCAGCACGACCTGATAATGAGTGAAAAAAATTGGAAACTGAAAAAGGCCAGCCTCATTCATTACTCATACAGGTTAATTATCTTGTTATCTCGAGAAATCAATAACTGTGTTCTCGTGATAACAAGAAAATTATCTTGTTATCTCGAGAAAACAATTAATTGTTTTACCATGAAAACGAGATAGTTATGTTATTATCTAGAGAAGGCAGAGGGAAAAAAAATGTTACGACCACTCTCAGCTTCCGTACTCCTGTATCACACAGAACGAAAATATAATATAATAAAATATACTAATTATTCCCATTAAATTTGCAGTAAATTTAAAGTTATGTATTTTGTTGTTATGCTTGCAAACATCTGATGAGGACTTGAAAAACATGATAAATAAAGTAAATAAAAGTAAAATTAAGCTTTATTCTTGTAAGTGATATATTTGCATAGATTTTTTTTTTTGTTGACTTTATAATTACATAATAATCCAATAAAAAAAACAGAACATCTAGGAATTAATCATCTCCAAAGTCTCCATTAATACCCTCTCTTATTATATGTATAGCACAATCCTTCACATTTAACCAGAACAAATAAGTCTCATCAAAGGAAAATGGATCTCTATTAATAAGTAGAAGTTGGCCTGTAAAAGCTCCACTACTTTGCTCCACTTTCCTGCGGCAGCCTCTCAGTGGAACCACTGCTTGTGTTTTTGAGTGTTGTCAGCGTAAAAGCTTCCATGTTCTCACTGGTCTGGACATCTTTCCCAGGAACAACCTTAAGGTACAAATTATTCATGCTGGTTTCTTTCAGGGTATAGAAGGGGGATAAACACAGTGCACAGTACATCTACCATTAAGCTCAACAGATGGGTGCCCATGTGAGTTATTTATATAATCCCATTTCTACAGATTCAGAAAAAAAGGACCTGCACTGCCTCTGTGGGAGGCAGAAGTAGTCTTTGATTCACTAGTGATTAGCAGATGGTAAAAACCCAGTGAATAAATTCCATCAAAATGTTTCATTATTTTTGCTGTGAAAACTAAAGTTCAGAGCATGTTTCTGGGCATAGTGACCATTTAACACACTTTAAGTTAGAATATAGCAGCAATAACAAAATCACACACAGACGAGCATGCATTTAAACACCTGTTTGCGGATCAGTTAGCAATTTGGGATTGAGTGCCTTGCCCATAGGTAAATCAACATGTGACTGGTGGAAGCTGGAATCAAACCCACAACTCTCCAATAGCAAGATGACTAGTCTATCCGCCACATTGGCCCTTGAGAAGCGAGCACAGCACGCTCAGTCATGCAAATAATTTATGTAGCAATTATTAAAACAAACCTTGCACTTCAAATGTGTTGATGTTTTCATCTCTGAATATTGTGCTCTGCATATTCAGTCTAATATAAATACATCTTGAGCATTTTTTTTTTGCATTTAGTCAAATATTCTATTAAAGCAGTATATATTAATAATGGATGATAGATTACACATTTTATTATAATCTGTGATAACTGAATTCTGTGGATAATTCTGAATTCTGTGCTAGATAAAATCAAATATTTAAACATAGTCCTGTGTTTTATGTAATCTCTGCAGGAATCCAGCTGTTCTCTAAAAGCCTCACATGTTTGCGTACAATCCCAAGCTTTAAATATGGTGCACTTCTGAACATGCCATGCGGAATTGGTAGGATATCTGAAACGTATGGAAGGTCGGTAATAACAAAACCTGGTTTCTGAAAATATACCCAACAGCACAGGAAAGGATGTTGAAAGTTTCGATGGAGACACAGCAGCAAACATGGAGAAATGGGCTCTGATCAACAGAGACGGTTTGTAGAAAAAACAATACTATAAATCATCCTGAAATATACATGTGACCAAAGTGGAAGCATCATGGTGAGGGGTTCTTCCACTTTAGCAGAGGCAGGGTGGATGATCAAAGGTTATTGGAAGATGGATAAATACATTCGTTCTGGAGGTAAACCAGCTAGAGGCCACAAAAGACTTGGCTAACAACACTTCTCTGTTTATATTAAATTGGAACAAAGTTTATGCTGCTTTCTGGCCGATATATGCACATTTTTTATGTTTAGATTATAACAATACTTTGCAATGCTCTGTATCAGAGGCAGTGTGAGATTTAGAGTCTTGCTCCCTAGACAAAACTATTTTAGGACCTGGGAATGAAACCCCCAGATAATCACTTTACCCGCTAATCCACGGCCACCCACACAGATGTACCTTTATGACCTTAGGGAAGAGGTGGATTATATCAGTTCTGTATGTTTTAGATTAATCCTGCCCCACCTGAATCTAATACCATATTTGCTTTAGCATTTTTGGAGAAGCTGACAATTGATCTGATCATGTCCACATTCAAAGACCAAATTGTGCATGAAGAAAATGGTAGAGAGCATTGTGAGCCAGTGAGAATCCACATTCCATTGTAACTGTAGGCTATAGCTTTAAAATGTAACGTTAGGAGGTCAGAGGTATCTGAGAGCTAACCAAGGCTGAGACAAGAAATGCTAAGAGGGTATTTTCAATGTTTTATTAATAAATTCATTAAAATGAGAGTGACATCTGATATAGCAGACTGGTGAAAATATACAAGTCTTTAATGGATGTCAAAATGTGAGTAAATCTCTCTCTCTCTCTAATATCACCCTTCCAGCTTTAAAACAATGAACGTGGACAATATTGTCAGCTCTTTAAACTACTAACATGGAAAACGTCTAAGACGAGAAGAACATAACATTTGGGGCAACTCCTGCTTGGCCAGACAACAATACACACATTTATATCCCTCTAAATATTTTGGTATAAATAAGAAGATCGCAGAAAGGGAAGACTTTTAAAAAATGTTTGAACAACATCTTATGTGATTTGGGATTCATGTAAATAGTAGGTTAATGAATTTACTGATGGGTTTGTTCTTATTTTGAAAGTTTAGATAAAAAGGATGAATTTTGAAAATATTTCTGTGCAGCCTTCCTTTACAATCATTTGTTTAGTATCCCCGAAAGTGCGACAATGCAGTAAATACTTAAATAATTAAGTAAATATGTATATTATAAGGTTAAAAAAAGTGGAAATAAATCATATATCAATGTTCATTCATCTGTTCACTCACATCATACCTCTGAGATCATTGACCATTTGAGCACTGTGTGAGGGATTGCTGAAGAATCCATGAAAAAATGCAACTGAGAATGGTTACCATAAGCTCATTCAGGAGGAGCATGTCTTGCAAGTCAATGACTGAATGCAATCAACTGGTTTTAATTGAAAGAAACTTTTAACCAATCTGAATGCACTGGCTCTGTGAAGTGCCTTGAGAGGACATGGTTTAAATTGGTGCTATTGAATTGGATTGAACATAATTGAATTTAACTTCAACTAGATAGATAGATAGATAGATAGATAGATAGATAGATAGATAGATAGATAGATAGATAGATAGATAGATAGA